TGGCACATAGCAATGAACATGCTTAGAACTGCTCTTCTCTGCCCTAGAAATGGCTGAGCTTTAGGAGTGAGATGAAGACAGCTTCAAGCAAGTAATATGTGACGCTTCGGCAGCTGAACTGAACTTGAGTAAGGATGCTCAAGTAAGAGCAAGGATGGGTCCCGGGGCACAAAGTTGTCTGCAGTTCTGGAAGCACAATCTTAGGGTCCCCCATACGTGTGTTCTGTGGGCTTTGCACTAACTCAGCCCCAAGTGTGACCTCCCCAGAATGGAACATCCCGAACCTTGTTTCCTACATTTTTTCTCCCCAAAGAAAACTATGCGCCATGGGCTCACCTGGGGCTCCCAGCAATGAGGAGCCTGGGGACCCCTGAGGAGCCAGCAGTTGGAGGCCACAGGAACCTGCAGACACTGGCCAATGGGCTCCACACAGCCGGGGCTAGTGGTCCTGCGTAGCACCCAGGATTCATTGATGAGTTATCTTCCTAAAACTCTCAGAGGGATAGACAAATGCTCAAAGATTATTTTTTTCCTCAACTGTGAACTGTGCCTAAGAAGGCTGAACTACAAAAAATATTATCATCTACCAATGGGAGCTATCACTAATATATATATATATATATATATAAAACATATATTAGTTATCACTAATATATATACATATATATCAAACTGAAGCATTTTTGAAAGGCTGCTTGCTGTGAAAAATATACTTAACCAGGGCTTCCCTGGTGGCGCAGTGGTTGAGAGTCTGCCTGCCGATGCAGGGGACACGGGTTCATGCCCCGGTCCAGGAAGATCCCACATGCTGCGGAGCGGCTGGGCCCGTGAGCCATGGCCACTGAGCCTGCGCGTCCGGAGCCTGTGCTCCGCAACGGGAGAGGCCACAACAGTGAGAGCCCCGCGTAACATACATTTTTTTTTTATTTTTTAATATTTATATATATATATATATATATATACACACTTAACCAACCCATATGCATATAGGAAGTCTATTAACACTGCCATCTTTAATTACAATGATGAAATAAGTAGATAATCCATTAAAATTATATTATGCACCATTAAATTCTTTTGTGTACTTTAAAAAGAAAAATGTAGATCACATGGTAAATTAGCAAAAGGAAAATATGGAAATTTAAATCCACACAGAGTCTGACCATCTAATGTAAAGTCATATTAAAACTTGACCTTCAATGGAGTAAAAAATCTGCTTATAACTGAAGAATTCCTTGACTTCTGGTTTAAGCTCACATAGCGATTTTCATTTGATGATCTTGCTTTCACTTGTTCGAGAGTTTGCAAAAGAGAATCCTTGTGTACTTTTGTAGTTTTAAACGTCAATTATCTTGCAAAATTCGAAATAAATCTCTTCAGCCACATCTGAATCATGCAGGAGGTTAAAATACATCATGTGACCCTCAAAGCAGTAATATAAGATTTCAGGAAGGAAATCCAATTATTCTATGTAAGGAAGAAATAGTACTTCTTTGGAAAAAATAATTCAAAAATTTTAGGATGTGATTGAAAAATAAGAAAAGCAAAAGGTTTTTTAAAGTTTTAAATTGCCAAGTTCCTAGCTGAGGTATTGGTTTTCTGTAAGCCCACGATTTTGCTGATGGTATGTATATACTGGGCACAGTGTAAGAGAGAACTTACCAATTTTCATCCATACAATGTCAAAAGGATACAAAAAAAGGGTTTTCCTCTATATCTCATTCTCTCATTACTTATATTGACACTTTGTGTGTAAATAAAACACAGTAAATGCAAAATATAAAAACAAACGCAGTCTCTGCCCTGAGGCTATATGGATGAGAAAAGTGTAAATACAAAATGAAAGAAATGTAAACTTTAAGGTGTTCACAGAACCATTAATTCCCTCCGCACATACCAGAAATATTTCGGATTATTAGTTAAGCTTTTAAATATACATTTTCTTAACAAAAGAGAAATGGTTGGGTATATTCATGTTTTTTTTATTTTTGTTTTTTTAATATTCATGTTTTGATAACCTTAAGTTTTCTCTTTTTTGAATTATGCTATTTGGATCCAACTAAAAACTGCATCAGTATTGATTGTTATAGTTAATGAAAAATAGCCCTGCTATTGTTATTTCATAACTAACAGGGTTTGGGTAATAAGACTTTATTTAAGTGCATTTTCGCTGCCCAATACTATTACTAGTCAAAGGATTTTGCTATCTTCTAACATTTACAATGTTGTCATTCCAGATGACTCAAATGGCTGCCTACCTACTTCCAAAAGATATGGCATAAAGTGTATCAGATAAAGTCTACCAATCCCTGAGTCTCTTAAGAAGAAACCATCAGAGACTCTGGGAACGACATCTTCAAACAGGATACCTTCAGGCTTGATTTCTAAGTTGAGGGCAGATACAAAATTTCAAACTTTGAAACTGTTTCTAGAATAGAATGTAAAGGATAGAAGAGACAGTGTCTGAGGGTGGATGCACTAGGAATGGAGGTAGGCGGGATGGCAAGAGGGGCGGCAGGAGGCTCCACTGACCACACCATCTTGGCAAGGATGGGAGGGAGTACTTATATCTTCAGTTCACCTTGGGGGCCCTGTGCTCCTGCAGAAGCCACAGGCTTTCCTGAATTTTTCATGGAGATGTGGACCCATCCACATCCAAGAGGGCAAGCCAGCGACAAATACCAGACTTGCCCACCCTTACCCTTTACTCAAGCCCTTTGAACCTCTGCCCCCTCCAGCTTAGTTGAAAATAACATAGAATAAACTAAAGTCAAGCTGAAGGAGTAATCTCTCCCATGTTATTTGGAAAACTGAACATCATAGTTGGTCTGCCATGGGTAACCAGTAGCATATGAAGGAAAGAGTCCCAGGTTTAAGGCTGACTTTTGTTCTCTTTCCAGTTCAGTGTCCACTTCCCATTAATTCCTGCCCAGCGGGGCTCAACAAAAAGCATTAGCAATGTAGGGCTTCTTGTAAGGGTCATTACGTTTTGGGGACCCCATCTATTTCCTCACGTTCTTTGGCATCCCTGATCAGCCCCCCATGCCCACAAACAGGCACACACATACACATGCATACACACACACTTCTCTGGAGCACCTCATTCTGAGCACCTCATTCTGAGGAGCACCTCATTCTGAGCACAGAAGATGGGGTCCTTGCTACACTGAAGATATCGTGTAGCAACTAGGACAATCTTTGGACTGTCCTCCCACAGATGCTCACACCACTTCCCCAACCCCCACTAAACACACCTTCTGACACCTCGCCTGCCTTAACCTCTTACACTCAGGGTCTTTCTTTCAGACACAGCCACTCCCAACGTTAGTTCCTGGGAATCTCTTTACAGTTCTCTTTACCCTAAACATTTTTGTGGTGTTACAAAGACTGGACCTTTGAAATGGTCTTGGACCAGAAGAAAACAAAAACTATCCATCACAATAACCGCCTCCCACATTGATGGGAGGATGCGGATAGCTGGTGGAAAGTCCACCATCGTACCCTTCTTTTCAATCAGACCACATGATAAAGACAAAAACAATGTGACCCCTGCATCTGTCACCCCAAGCGATGCCAGGGCTGATTCTGCAGGTCTGCCCGATCTCACCACAATCTGGAAACTACAAGCCACGTTGAAGAAGACAAGCTTCCCTGAGAGAAGAAACAGTGGTCTTTGACTGAGGATGTACAAGTACTCTAACACTAATGTTATAAACCTCAATTAATTTGTAAATGTGAGGCACAGTAATCTGATTTACCCGCTCACTTTCTGGCATATCTGGACACTGAAGTTTTTCTATTTGCTATTCAAGGACTCTTTTCTCAACCACATAGTTTAAACAAAGTAGAGCAGCTGTGCATACGCAGGTAATCTATCAAGTCAGTTATTCATGGAGACACTGGCTGAGGAAGAAATAGAAAGCTTGCAGTCTGAGATTTTATCAGAGATTTTATAGGGATATTTTCCATGCCAAACATCTAGATAACGAAAAATTTAATACATCTAAAATGTGCTCAGTTTTCCCCAATCTAATACACAAAACTAAACAGCACATAGTGATGGTACCAGACTAATAGATTAATTAAAGTTTAGATCAAGACCTCGTTTGGTACTCTGTTGAATTTCCTAACAGTGAAAGAGCCCATCCCCCCCATACATATAGTCCGCAGATAATCAGTCAAGTCTCAACCTGCTTTCAAGCTACCCCAGGAGCAGGTGATGTACCGATTTTACTAATAAAAATACCAAGTGAATCAGGCATGTTCCATTTCTACTGGGAAATGCATTCATTTATTCCACAAATAATTATAATTAAGCATTAACTATGTGAAAGCATTATTCTAGGTGTTGAAGATACACCAATGAGCAAAACAATGCCAAACAAAACCCCTGCCTGCCACTGTAGCACTTTACTTCCTAGTGAGATTCTAAAACACAAGTTCCTAGAATTTTAGGAAAAATTCTCTAATTTTCAGAAGGGGTATCTTAGAAGGGATGTTGATGGTGATGTTTCTGAGATGGGCTAGAGAGAAAGGCAAGTATCCATTGGCACACCCTTTATTGTAAGAGGAGAGAAAGCCAGGTCTGATTTTTCTCCCATCTGGGAGAAGAGGGCTCAGTATCAGTGAGCAGCTTGGCAATTCAGTCCCTCAGCAAACATTTATGGAGAAACCGTTAGAAGATATTCTGATCTAATTGAATAATTCTTTTCTAAGACAATCCACTACCCCCATCTGACACCGTCTCTGGTTTGTAGAAGTCACTCCCCGTCTAGGCATGTTCTTAGAACAGTCGGGTAATGGTGGTACAGAAGTAACTGCAATTTTTACTTACACCACAGGTGGAGATATTTCCCATAAATGGGAAATGTACTTATTAACAAGATCAACGATCAGACTGTGGAGCTGGGTCCTACAGAGCTATGTCTATGGCACCCAGACTCTTAATGTCAAGGAAGTACAAGCCATAGCCTGAGAGGCTACAGCTGTGCTGCTCTTACCATGACTGAGATGTGGAGGATTCTCAGCTCCTCTTCTGCCGACTCACGCTGGGGTTCTTCGGTTGGGTCTTGTCCAGGGAGGCTTGGGGCACCGTCTTGGTGGTGGATGTGAAAAAGTAGAGTGCCATTCTCCAGCCACTGCTGCCTCCAGCGCACCAGAGGGATGTCCTCCGTGTTCCCTGAGATCTCTAGAGGACAAACACCAAAGGCATAGGTCAGAATTCCAACTGGACCAGTCCGAATCTCCTTTTCGTCTCCTTCTTAGACATCGGTACCAATTAGCCAGTGTCAGATGAAGACAACAAAGGGTTTCTAACTATAGTTAAGTCAGGCTTACTGCTGCTCCAAATCTCAAGAAAGGGAAGAGGCCCTGAGAAGAAGAGAATTATCCCCCCATCAGTCTTTGCACCATAAACTAGTGGCCCAGCCTCTCACCCACTGAGAAAAATACAAAGGTAAAAACTCAAGTTCTTCCCCATATTTCTATGATCAATAGCATCCTTTACTTAGTACAGTTTGAATACCCTGATGACCTCTTGAGGTAAATAGAAGATTCTTTGCCTCTTGTAAATTTGAAAGTGTGAGTTCCCTAGAAATTACTTGGAGACGCCAGTGTGTCTGCCAAGGAGAGAGTTGGTAATTACTGTGCAGGGAACTGGCACTTACAGGAGAGTCCTGGGAGGTTACTGCAGAGCCACTGGAGCTGACAGGTTATTTCTAAAACCACCGTCATGTGCTGCATAGTCCACTGGAGATGTCTGATGCTTGCTTTGGCAGGAGTAATGTTTTAATTCCCTTTAATATTCCTCTTCATTTTTGCAGAGCAAAGGTGGTATACATGAGAGGGCTGTGAAGAAGCAGGCCCTTACCACAGACATACGCACTCACCTGCTTTCAGGCACTGAAATATCATCAGCAAATAAATAACAATATACCAAAACCCACTATGTACTTCATACTGTAGGTGTTAAGCGGTGCTGCAGAAGCATACTGTTATGTGTCCCTTTCTCTAATATTCCTAAGCAATATCAGATCGAAGCTTTGAGACATCCCACAACAGAAAGAACCTGATTAATCCAGCTTTCTTGAGCTTCATGTGGCCCTAAGATCATTTTTTCCTTAACAGCTATTATCATCCTCGGAAACTCATATTCTGCTCAACGCACTTTGGCAGAGCATGGCTTTGTCAAATTTCATCTTTTTTTGAAAGGCATGGCTTCTTCTCCCAAAACTTATCACCTTTGACTAAACAATTCAATACATGGAAAGAAGATACAGTAAGATCTGTTTAGAATAGTATTCTCATCAAGTTACCACAATCATAAAGAGGAAAGCAATTTTAAATATTTATAGAGTTTATAAATACCTTTCATTCTTTGTGGGAGTGTACAAATGATGTTCTGCTGTATTTATTTACTTATATAGTTATTCATTAATTTATTTAACAGACACACATTGGGCATGTATTATGTACGCACCAGGCACTGTTCTAGGCACTGAGAGACTAATCTAAATGAGGCTCTCAACAAGTTCTCCAAAGCCATCCACTGTGAATGAATGTGTAAAGTGTTACACCACGTGCATAAAAGTTTTGTGGAAACAGAAGAAGGAAGGAGTAATCTTGCTTGGGTAGAGGGTGGAAGATGGGAGGAGAGTAGCATTGCCAGAAGCAGAAGATCCTATAGTTTTGGGCCTTGAAGTGTGAGTGGACTTCCTATAATAGATAGCGAAGTGGGGAACGGACATTCAGACATTGATAGAAGAATACGTAGGAGGAGGAGGAAGATGAAGAATACTGGCTGGTCCTCTCAGGGAAGGTCAGTGAGAAGGATTCATGAGCCACAGGTCATCAGCCTATGATGATTCCCTAGCTCATCCTACCATCCTACCTCTCCTCCAGGGAGGAGAATAAATTTTGGAGTGTGCAGGAGGATGAGGGTGCAGCAAAAACAAGGTGCTCAGGGTCCCCTTCATTCTTAGCCTCTCTCCCTAACTGCCTGAAGGACTTAGTCATCCTGTTGGGTTGGTAAGCTGTTCATGCTCTGGAAGTGACCGGCACAAGCATCTAGGAAGCTGCGGTGGGCAGAGGGTATGCAAAAGGCTCCCCTGCAGCCTGGTCCTGGTTTTCCCCAGGCACAGCTCCATTTGTTAAGTGAGGCAGTGACAAAAGCTTCCCAAGTTCATCTTTCCTCTAAGGGGTCTTTACAGACTTCCAGGTGAACAGAAACCCTTCGGCGCACCTCCAAGGGTGCCTGCATAGACCCGCGGGCTGCTGCATGACACTTCATCACAAGTCCTGCGATCACAAACCCCGCTCGACAGCACTCACTCTTTCTAACCACTCATCAAGGCTCCACATCAAAGCACTGGGAAGATTCTTCCTGGGAAACACACCCTTCTCTCCCAAGTCCATTTCCTGACATTACAGTCGAAACCAAACTCCATGCCCTTCTCATCACAGACATAAAAATCACAAGCAGCGACAGCTCCTAATAGAGCACCTAATGGCACAATTAAATCACCTAGAGCAACACACGTCCAGCCTCTTTCCTGCACCTGCTCTATTCCACACGTCAGGTCCCACTTTAGTCCTTCCTGTAACTATTCAAGAGGAATCCAGCACCTCATACCTCTAAAGCACTCAACAAACTGGCTTTCTGTTTCCCAGGAGACCCTCATCGAGGAGGTCAGGCTCATTACCCCTGTTTTAACTGTGGAAGCAGAGACAAGTAAATACCCAGACCAAAGTCACCCCAGCCTGACACAGAACAGGGACTAAGACAGATGAATGAATCTCTATCAGATCCCCTCCACCTCCAACACAGGCATCAGAGGACATGACCTTCGAACATGCATAAAAAGAGGAAGCAATTGAAAGCCCATGGGGTCTTTCAGGAATTTTTGTGCCGCAGTATTTAAATTTTTTGCACAAAGCCTTAGTATTCCATGAGTTCTTTTACAACTGAAATATAATTCACATACCATAACATTCACCCTTTCAATATATACAATTCAGTGGTTTTTAGTATATTCACAAAGTTGTGCAACCATCACCATTCTAATTCCAGAACCTTTTAATCAGCCCCAGAAGAAACCCTGTACCCACTGGCAGCCAGGACTGTTTCTGAGAAGGAAGGACGCCTGCTCCAAGGTTCTAGGAGTGATGGTACCAAGGAAAGAACGGGTGCAGTGGGGGTATGGGGAGGTGGGCTGAGAGCACAGAATCTCTAGCCTTGGCTTCCAGCCCAGCCCTCTGAACCTATCTATAGGTTATTCATGGCAAATTCCTTTGGAAAATGATATCCTGATTCTGCCTGGACCAGAATCATCATAGAGGGGAAAGGGTGAAGGAAGGAGGGTGCCATGCCTGCCAGTGAAGGTGTCTGTCGCTTTTTAGGTTGAAGATAATTACAGAATGATAGTTTCCTCCTTGGCTTTTTTCCCCTCTCCTGGCAAGATCTGACACAGGAGGGCTAAAATGCTAAACTAGGAACTTACTTACTTATGCTATATCTGGCCTGGGTCAACCAATGAAAAATCACACAGAGCACAGTAAATGTCTTGTGAATTTCATCGCAGTGGGGCTGAGATCAGAGCTTGGAACATCAGTGTAATCACGTTGGTCTGGATGTCAGCAGAATATCTCAAGAAGAATAAATGCTCAGAAATTGCTTTACCAATGCAAGCCTGACCTGGGACTCCCAAGGAGCAAATGTGGGAGGTGATCAAATAAGTTACTTTAGTCCAAGACCTCCTGAGGACTGTGGACGAGGCTCAAACAGAGCCTTTGCCAGTGTACTGAATAAAACAAGTGCCAACAGGAGCCTGCACGGTCAGATCTCAATATACCACAGGTGGCACGAGCACCACAGCCATCACCACACTGTGGGGCTGAGATCTCCAGAAAGGTAAGGCTGCCCTTACTTTTAGCATTCCATTTGTCCCATTCTTACCCTCTGTTAACCTCACAGATCTCAGCACCTCCAAAATTCTGGAATGCCCGAAATTTACAGAAACCAGGATGCCATTCATTCTTTTTTTTAAAATATATGTTTTTTTCCCTTGTAATGAGAACTCTTTTTAAAAATAGTTATTTATTTACTTATTTTATATTTGGCTGCGTCAGGTCTTAGTTGCGGCACACGGGATCGTCTTTGCGGCATGCAGGATCTTTCGCTGCAGTGCGCAGGCTCTTTGTTGCAGCGTGCTGGCTTCTCTCTAGTTGTGTCATGCAGGCTCCAGAGCATGTGGGCTCTGTAGTTGCAGCACACAGGCTCTCTAGTTGTGGCTCGCATGCTCAGTAGTTGTGGCACGGGCTTAGTTGCCCCGCTGCATGTGGGATCTTAGTTCCCCAACCAGGGATCGGACCTGCAACCCCTGCATTGGAAGGTGGATTCTTAACCACTGGACCACCAGGAAAGTCCCAGCCATTTATTCTTGAATACACAAAGATCCTTGGAGCACACTCTATTTGCCACATTTAGCAAGTTGTGCTACATGGTTTCTACTCTCAAGGAGCTTTTGGTCTAGTAAGAAAATGAAGACAGAGCCATGAATAAGTACTCTAAACCGTAATAGCACTGCTGGGTGAGAGGGTGGTACTTGGCTGGGCATATACCCTTGGAAAGGGATAAAATGGGAAGAAATGTTGGGGGTCAATTCGAGATGAAGAAAACAGTGTGTGTAACTGTGTAAAGGAACAGCAGGATGATGCGTGTTTGCAGAGTTGCGGGAGGTCTGGTTATGCTGCAGAGTGAGGATATGGAGAGGAGGAGTAGAGGACTGGGCTGAAAATCCAGATTGGTGTCAACTGTAAAAGTTGTGAATGCCAGTTTTAAGGAGTTCAGAGCTAATGGAAAGTCATCCGTGGTTTTATTAAGCAGAGGAATGAATAAAGCCATGAGTAGAAAGATGAAGAGGACCCAGAAAGAGTAGCAGATAGACTAGACTCAATCACAGTCCCAGTGTAACTCTTATCCTATATTCTGCAGGAAACACGATACTAAACTGGAACTCAGGAGACCTCGGTCTAGAGTAACCTTGAATGGAATGCCTGGCTTTGAATTTTCTCATCTGTATACAGAGGAGCTGTGTTGATGAATTTCAAGATCCTTTTGTAACTTGCCGTTCCACAATTCTAAAACCAAAGGGTGTGCTTCATGTGACCACCTAGAAAGGCAATGATTTC